GAGAGGTATCTCTGGGCCCTCTCGGTAATGCACATCACTATAAGCCTTGCAAGCAATGTGACTAATGAGTTAGTTGCAAGATGATGTATTACGTAACGAGTAAAGAGACTTGCCAGTAACGAGATTGAACTAGGTATTGGATACCGACGATCGAATCTCGGGCAAGTAACATACCGATGACAAAGGGAACAACGTATGTTGTTATGCGGTTCGACCGATAAAGATCTTCGTAGAATATGTGGGAGCCAATATGAGCATCCAGGTTTTGCTATTGGTTATTGACCGAGAATAGTTCTAGGTCATGTCTACATTGTTCTCGAACCCGTAGGGTCCGCACGCTTAAGGTTTCGATGACAGTTATATTATGAGTTTATGAGTTTTGATGTACCGAAGGAGTTAGGAGTCCCGGATGAGATCAGGGACAAGACGAGGAGTCTCGAAATGGTCGAGACGTAAAGATTGATATATTGGACGACTATATTCGGAGTTCGGAAAGGTTCCGAGTGATTCGGGTATTTTTCGGAGTACCGGAGAGTTACGGGAATTCGCCGGGGAGTATATGGGCCTTATTGGGCCATACGGGAATAGAGGAGAGAGGCCAAAAGGAAGGAGGCCTGCGCCCCCCCTCTGGTCCGAATTGGACAAGGGGGCCGGCCCCCTTTTCCTTCTCCCTCTCCTCCTCTTTTCTTCTCCAACAAGGAAAGGAGGAGTCCTACTCCCGGTGGGAGTAGGACTCCCCCCTTGGTGCGCCTCCTCCATAGGCCGGCCGCCTCCCCCTTGCTCCTATATATATGCGGGCAGGGGGGCACCCCAAAGACACAACAACAATTGATCCTTGAGATCTATTAGCCGTGTGCGGTGCCCCCCTCCACCATAGTCCTCCTCGATAATATTGTAGCGGTGCTTAGGCGAAGCCCTGCGACGGTAGAACATCAAGATCGTCACCACGCCGTCGTGCTGACGGAACTCTCCCTCGACACTCGGCTGGATCGGAGTTCGAGGGACGTCATCGAGCTGAACGTGTGCTAGAACTCGGAGGTGCCGTAGTTTCGGTGCTTGATCGGTCGGGCCGTGAAGACGTACGACTACATCAACCGCGTTGTTCTAACGCTTCCGCTTTCGGTCTACAAAGGTATGTAGATTACACTCTCCCCTCCCGTTGCTATGCATCACCATGATCTTGCGTGTGTATAGGAAATTTTTGAAATTACTACGTTCCCCAACAGCAATCCTAAATGCTTAGTATAGGATGCTAGTTTATCATCATTGGCCCTACATTCTTGTCGGTCTGCCTTGCTATACTATCGGGCCGTGATCACTTGGGAGGTGATCACGGGTATATACTATACATATATACATACTATACAGATGGTGACTAAAGTCGGGTCAGCTCGTTGAGTACCTGCAAGTGATTCCGATGTGGGGGCTGAAGGGGCAGGTGGCTCCATCCCGGTAGAGGTGGGCCTGGGTTCTCGACGGCCCCCGACTGTTACTTTGTGGCGGAGTGACAGGGCAGGTTGAGACCACCTAGGCGAGATGTGGGCCTGGCCCTGGTCGGCGTCCGCAGTTACTTCATAATAACACGCTTAACGAGATCTTGGTATTTGATCTGAGTCTGGCCACTGGCCTATACGCACTAACCAACTACGCGGGAACAGTTATGGGCACTCAACGTCGTGGTATCAGCCGAAGCCTTCATGACGTCAGCGACTGAGCGGCGCGCGCCAGATTGGACCGCATGACGTGACTTCCTTTGTAGTGGAGGTTGCTAGGTCTGCTTCCGGTCGCCCTTGCAACGTGCAGGTGTGCAATGGGCGATGGGCCCAGACCCCTGCACGCATAGGATTTAGACCGGCGTGCTGACCTCTCTGTTGTGCCTAGGTGGGGCTGCGACGTGTTGATCTTCCGAGGCCGGGCATGACCCAAGAAAGTGTGTCCGGCCAAATGGGATCGAGCGTGTTGGGAAATGTGGTGCACCCCTGCAAGGAAGTTTATCTATTCGAATAGCCGTGTCCCTCGGTAAAAGGACGACCCAGAGTTGTACCTTGACCTTATGATAACTAGAACCGGATACTTAATAAAACACACGCAGACAAGTTCCACAGACAACCCGGTGATCGCTTTTTCACAGGGCGACGAGGGGAGGATCGCCGGGTAGGATTATGCTATGCGATGCTACTTGGAGGATTTCAATCTACTCTCTTCTACATGCTGCAAGACGGAGGTTGCCATAAGTGTAGTCTTCGATAGGACTAGCTATCCCCCTCTTATTCTGGCATTCTGCAGTTCAGTCCATCGATATTGCCTCTTTACACATATACACATATGCATATGTAGTGTAGCTCCTTGCTTGTGAGTACTTTGGATGAGCACTCACGGTTGCTTTTCTCCCTCTTTCCCCCTTTTCCTTTCTACCTGGTTGTCGCAACCAGATGCTGGAGCCCAGGAGCCAGACGCCACCGTCGACGACGACTCCTACTGCACCGGAGGTGCCTCCTACTACGTGCAGGCCGCTGGCGACGACCATGAGTAGTTTAGGAGGATCTCAGGCAGGAGGCCTGCGCCTCTTTCGATCTGTATCCCAGTTTGTGCTAGCCATCTTATGGCAAACTTGTTTAACTTATGTTTGTACTCAGATATTGTTGCTTGCGCTGACTCGTCTATGATCGAGCACTTGTATTCGAGCCCTCGAGGCCCCTGGCTTGTATTATGATGCTTGTATGACTTATTTTATTTTTAGAGTTGTGTTGTGATATCTTCCCGTGAGTCCCTGATCTTGATCGTACACGTTTGCGTGTATGATTAGTGTACGATTGAATCGGGGGCGTCACACCTTTGAGGTAGACAAACAAACCTTTACAAGGATGAGGCACACTCCACAACTCAATTGGAGGCTCTCACCAAATTCCCGCGGCTCCCAAAGCCACAAAAATCACAAGGTCGAGGGGGACACTCCACAACTCAATTGAAGGCTCCTCAACTAGTCTCCACGGCTACCAAAACCACGGGGACGACCATGAACTGTCTAGGGCTCCTAAGAACCCAAGAGTAACAAGAACTCAATGGAATGGAGGGGGAAATCGAATTCCTTCGGTGAAAGTGTAGATCAAGGTCAACTCCCTCAAATCCTAGAAGGATAGAGTGTTTGAGTGGGTAGGGAGAGAGATCTTGGTGATTTGATCTTGCAACAATGGTGGGGGAAATATTTCTGGTCGTGGTAGTGTGTTTGGGGAAGAAGGGGTGACTTATATAGGTCCACTGGAAACTAGCCGTTTTTTCGAGGAAATACACATCCGGAATGGATCCAGAATTCATCTGGACTTCCGGACGCTCAGAATAATCCGAATCCCAGCTCACTGGTCTCCGGATAGAAAACAGGGAGTGGAGACTCATTTCGGAACCAGTCCGGAGTGAATTCGAAAATTCCGACTCGGCCAGAATTCTGAGTGAATTCCGAACCACTCGGAATTAGTGCATTTTGCGAGTTTTCTGTGGTAGATCAAATTTCTGTCAACTTCCCCAATGATTGTAGGAATGTGGGAAGGTGTAGACGTGATTTGTGAAGGTGCAACATTTCCCAAACCATTCCAAAGAGACGTCCCTCTTGATAGTACGACTTTCCTATGACTCAAATAAACGAGTAAAATTAGGGCCACCGTCTTCAAGATTTTTCCTTTCTCTGAGGGATCATCCGACAATGTGCAATGCTTCTATGTTTCCTAAAACACTTGAGTACACATTGAGATCATTTAATCATGTTGTTAACAAACACCAAAATATAGTTAGGAGAAATATGTCCTTACATATGGCTCCCCTTGTGTCGAATCAAAAAATTTGGGTTTTACTTCTCTCGAAGACTGTTGCGATCCCATACACTTGTGGGTCATCAGCCCACTCGGGATAATTGTTGAACAAGGAAAGCAAGAAGTCCAAGCCGGACCCAAACAAGGAAAACTTACCGTACAAGGCAAGAAGAAATAGAGATAGACTCCAACTCTTACTTGTAACCGACCTAGGGCACCCGGGACCCAGCCTAGTATATAAAGGCACGGGAGGGGGCTCTCTAGACACCGAACGCACAATCCACCCTAGTCCCCCATAGCCATCATCAACCTTGTGCCAAGTCGCGTCTCGCCTTTGTAATCATCTCCATCAATACGATCAAACAAGCAGGGGTAGGTTTTTACCTCGTACGAGGGGCCGAACCTGGGTAAATCTTGGTCCCTGTCTTGCCTGATAACCGTCGAGTCCACCAGCATCGTACGTTTGCTCCCCTGTAAAAAAAATCCTAGCTACTCAAGCATGGGATTTGCCGTTTGCCCCCGAGCTTTGCGCCGGATCGATGGCGGCGGCGGCAGCTGCGACCGCGCGGACGGGATACGCCACCCCCAGGTACGAAACGAGGTGGAAATGAACCGGCGGGAGGCGGCGACTCTTTTCTACTGCAGGGAAGCGGGGGCGGGAAGCGGCAGCGAGATTCGGTAGCGGAGAAAGGCGGGGAAAAGAAGAACTCACGCGCGGTGAAACTTCAACATGAGTGTCAAAAAATGGCCACCAAAACTGAACAGATGGGGCACAGGCGGGGATTTTTCCTGCTCACCGGTTTTTTTTCCGATTGGGGGCTTATTCGGGATCTGATCTTTCCATTTCGTTCCGGGCAAAAAAAAGTTATTTTTCGAGCCGGGGCTTATCCAGTTCCGTAGAGATGCTTTTAGGCCTTCTTGGGCCTTTTTCCGTCGAGGGCCTTATTCCGTTGAATGTTTCGTCCGAGTCCCTACGCAACAGATTTCCCTTTCCCTTAAAAAGAAAAACCTAACAGATTCCCCATATTCTACCTCAAACACATAGCGAGCCCTAATTTGCAGATCGGCGTCCACACCGAGCTGCTACTCCGCTTCTCCGCCGCCTTCTTTCCCCTCATCGTTTCTTCCCGCTCAAGCCACCGCCCTCCTCAGCATCTGACCTCCCCGCCGCACCGGACGCCGCTGGTCGCGCGCGCGATGGAGTCGACGTGCGTGTCGTGCGGCGAGTGCCCGGTGATTCCGGAACCGGCCTCGGGCGTGCTCGTCTGCACCGCCTGCGGCGTCGTCCACGACGCCGACGCCGACGAGTTCGTCAACTCCACCTGCTTCACCGAGGGCGGGGAACTCGACCGTCGCGCCGCCACCATCGTCCACCACAGCTCCCAGTCCCCCTACCTCGACCACAAACTCTACGCCGCCTCCGATGTCATCACCTCCATGGCCGCCCGCTTCTCACTCTCGGCCAGCCGCGTCGACGAGGTCCTCAGAATAGCCCAATCCGCCACCGACAGGAATCTCGCCTGCCTGGGCACTGCCTTTCTCCCTGCGCTCGCAGCCGCCTGCACCTTGCTCGTCGCGCGATCCCACCGCCTTCCGATCTCCTTCGCCGAGGCCGCTGAGGCCGCGGCCTGCACCACGTTCGCGCTCGCTAACCTCGTGTACCGCATCGCCTCCCAACTCTACCTCCCTCCCCTCCCGTCCTTTGACTACTCCGCCGCGCTCGAACGCGCGGTGGAACGCTCAGGCAAGCTCACCGAAGCTGCGGGTGAGAAGAGGGATGCCATCCTTTCCCAAGCCCGATTTCTCCTCTGCTGCGCCTCCAAGCGTGTGTTTGGTAGGGTGCATGAAGGGTGCATGAGGGCAAAAGTTCCCAATCCGACCCACTTTTGCTTGTTTGGTAGGGTGCATGAGCTCACATGGGCTATGCTCATCTAATGCATAAAAGGGCCCTCAGCTATGCTCATCTCATGCACCCCAGACAGGGTGCATGGAGGCAGCCATGCTGGCCCTGACACTCGTCCCCACCCACCAGACCACGTTCAGATATGTTTATATTTTCAAAAAATGTTCAGAATTTAAAATTTTGTTTAAATTTTTGAAAAAGTTTAGAATTTCAAATTTTCTTTAATTTTTTGAAAAAGTTTAGAATTTCAAAATTGTTTAAATTTTCAAAAAAATGTTCATAATTTCAAAATTTATTTGAATTTTCAATAAATGTTCAGAATTTCATTTTTTTTAAAAAAATCAACAATGTTCGGAATTTCAAAATAAAATCAAAAATTGTTTGAATTTTGAAAAAAAATATTAGAAATTCAAATTTTATTTATTTTTTATAAAATATTAAATTTTGTTTAAATTTTCAAAATAGCTCGGAATTTCAAATATGTTCAAATTTTCAAAAGAGTTTAGAATTTCAAAATATATTATAATTTTCCAAAAAATGTTTAGAATTTTTTTAAAAAATCAAAATATGTTTAAATTTGTGTTCATATTTTTCTAGTTTTGTTCATCATTCAAAAACAATTGTTCAAAATTCGAAATTGTTCATCATGTCTAAACACATGCAGGCTACCAAACAAAGTCTCAACTCAGCATGTCTCAGCGCATACATCGCTGCCAAACAACAACAACTGCATGGACTCAGCATGTCTACACTTAGCATGTATGAGAGGAGAACAACTAGGCTAGGTCCATGCATGCTACCAAACACACCCCAAGTGGTCGCTCACGACCGGAAGGCACCCGCTCCCACTTGTCGATGGCGTGATAGCTTTCGCGGCAGAGCTGAACAAGGTCACCTCTGTCTCTGTGGAAGATATTGCCCTGGATATTTCGGCGGTGCCGCACACCAGCCGCCTCCGATACAACGAACTTGTTGCTGCGCTGGTGGGTGCCGCGCAGAAGTTGCTTCCGTGGGGCTCCGACGTCAATACCAGAAACCTTCAGTTAAGTGCCCCCAGCCTGCTGCAGCTCATGCAGATGCAGTCACAGTCCGGCCAGTCGGAACAGTTTCAAGAGTGCTTCCGTCCAGACATTGCCAGCACTGTGAAGGAGTACTCATCTGTTGACTTGGACGAATCCAAGTACTTCCAGATTGACCCCCTTGATGTTGATGATTTCGATTTCAAGAATTATGGGCAAGAGTTGAAGGAACCAGAGGATTTGAAGATCTTAGAGGGATGCATGTCAGATACTTACCAGAATATCTTGAAGAGGATTGCTCAGCTAAAGGAACTTGGGAACTTTGGTAAAGTTCCTAGCAGGAGGAAGCGGTGGAAGAGAGAGTTGGAGCTGGAACCATGGGATAATGCCCAGACCAAGAACAAACCCCTCGAGGAGGAAGCAGATATTGACATTGGCTATGATGCACCTCCTCCATCCTTTACTGCTGGAGTGGATTTGCAGAAGCGGAGGCGAACACGGATTGAAGCTGCTAAGTGTCGGATCAATGAAATTATGAAGGCTCCTGCTACTCGTATTGCAAATGCAATTGATTCACCGTCTGCTCTTGGACATGAAGATGTCTGTCCACCACAAAAAAATATCAGGAAAAATCAATGGCGAAAGAGACGAAATGAAAAGGATCATCTGAGAGAGATTTCAAATGCTCCGGACTGTGTGAAGAAGAGAAAGAAAAGAGACTCATGTAATGTTATTGACTGGGAAGATTGTGTCATTGAGCTCCTGTTATTACATGGTGCAAATGAAGCAGAGATAGAACAAGGCCAGTACAAAAGATTGTTGGAGCTGCGTGTCTTCAGTGCATAAGTGGAGAGCGATGAAAACTTGGCGATGCAGACTCTCCAGTCATTAGTATTTGATTACTGGCTTGCTTTCTGAACATAGGTTGTCATTACTCTGAATCATGCATAGTTTTTGTTAGAGAAATTCCTCGCTGTTTGCATTATTCACATGATTGCATCCCGATTTGTCTACCGTATTTACTATGTTCACCGCCGTGTGTATTTATCCTACCATAGTGCCTAAGGCCCCCCCAGGCCACTTTTCCGGCGCAGGCGCCGAAAAAACGGCCTAGTCGCGCCCCCAGGATGCCGAAAATCGCCGGTTCGGACCTTTTTTCCGCCCGGCGGTCACAGACCGAACCCGGCGCGCTGGGGAGCCGTTGGGGGCTCCGGCGCTAGGGAAAAGCACGCCTGGCCCACACCGACAGGGGAAAAGTCAAGTTTTTCTTCCCCCGACTCGCCTCGCACCCCCCGCGCCCTCGGCCACCACTAGCTGTATCCCGGCGACGGGCGCCGGCCTACTCCGCTAGATAGTCATTCCCCGCCGGAAAATAGCAGTGCTTCGCCGCGGCAGCCCCTCCCGCAGCACTGGGCGCTGCCGGCCGCCGTTTCCGGCCGCGGAGGCGCCGTTTAACGGCGGGTAAACGCCCACCGAGCGCAAGGTGTTCGACGTTTTGACTGACTCGGTGATGGACTCCGATGAGGAGGAAGAGCTCGCCGCGCTGCTGGAGGAGGAAGCCGCGGCCGACGTCCAGGAAGAAGAGCATCTGATGGTGCTCGCCGCCCTCGCCCAGCTGCTGGCGAGCAATGAAAAGCCGCGTCGAGGTGGCTCGGCGCCGGGGCGGGTGAAAGCAAAGAACCGCCATCGTCTGCAAGGCTACTGCATGCTCTACTCCGACTACTTCGCCGATGCTCCACTTCATGGCGAGAGAACATTTCGGCGCCGTTATCGGATGAGCCGAAAGCTCTTCCTCAGGATTGTGAATTCCATCCGGGAGTTCGACAACTACTTCAAGTGCAAGATGGATTGCACTGGCGCTCTTGGATTCACCTCCATCCAGAAGTGCACGACAGCGATGAGGATGCTTGCATATGGAGCTCCCAGTGATTCACTCGACGACTATGGGTGCATGGCCGAGTCCACCAGCATAGAGTGTTTTTACAAGTTCTGTCGGGCAGTGGTGGCAGTGTTTGGGCCACAATACTTGAGAGCACCCAATGCGGAAGACACTGCTCGGATCCTAGCCCAGAATGCAGCAAGAGGATTTCCTGGGATGCTTGGAAGCATCGACTGCATGCATTGGAAATGGAAGAACTGCCTATTTGGTTGGCAGGGGATGTACAAAGGCGCCAAAGGCGGTTGCAGTGTGGTGCTTGAGGCGGTAGCCACACAGGACCTCTGAATTTGGCACTCCTTCTTTGGTATGCCAGGAACTCACAATGACATCAACATGCTGCAGTGCTCTCCTGTTTTTGCCAAGCTCGTTGAGGGCCATTCTCCTCCGGTGAACTTCGAGATCAATGGGCACCAATACAACAAGGGGTACTATCTAGCTGACGGCATCTATCCGAGATGGTCGACATTTGTGAAGACGATCGCAAACCCTGTGGCAGGAGGCAAGAACGCCTGGTTTGCGAAGGTTCAGGAGGCTTGTAGGAAGGATGTCGAGCGGGCATTTGGTGTGCTCCAATCTCGATTCGCTGTTGTTCGGTACCCCGCTCAGACCTGGTCGAAAGATCAAATGTGGGAGATCATGACTTGCTGTGTCATCTTGCACAACATGATCATCGAGAGCGAGCAAGAAAACCCAGTGTTTGACACTGAACCATACTACAGGCAGGGTCCTCTAGCCGAAGTTGATCACCAGCTACCGGCAACTTGGACTGCCTATCTCAGTATGCGTCAGGAGATCCGAGATCCACAGGTGCATCATCAACTGCAGAAAGATCTGATTGAGCACCTATGGAGGCTCAAGGGGGACGCCGCGTGATGAAATACTAGTTTTTATTTGTTGAACTATATAATTTGTATTGAACTATTTGTTGTTGTAGTATTTTGTTGAAGTATCTGATTTTTCTGTGATGAAATATGTGATAAGGAATAATTGTGTTGATAAATGAACATCGAGACACGGCGAAACCACGCCGAATATGGGCCTATTCTCGCCCATATGGGCCGTTTGTTCGCCGAAATTGGGCTGCAAAGTGGGTCAATTTCGACGCCTGGGGGCGAGCTGGGAGCGACGACTGAGCGTAAAATTGCCCCATCGCCGAGTGTATCGCCGGCTATTTTTATGCATCCTGGGGGCCAACGGCTGGAGATGCCCTAAGAGCATCTCCACTCGCAGCCCCCATATAGCATCCGGATTACAACTTTGGAGAGGGCTTTGGGGGGCGTCCGGACAAAACACGCCGTATGGGGATAGCTGTTTCCCACTCGTTGACCCCAAACCACCCCCAAATTATCTCAGTGCATTAGCACAAACACCTTGGAGGCATGGAGGTCGGCGCTGCGCAGGCCGCTGGCCGCCTTCACGCGCTTCCCGTTCGCCGCGTGGGCGAGCTGCCCAGGCCGCCGGCTTCACGCCCTGCCCCGTCGGCGCGCTGCAGCAGCCAGCGGTCGAGGTTGATCTACTCGAGGTCGCCGGCGTCAGGTACAGGACAGCAACGAGGAGGAAGAGCTGCATGTATCTCTGCTTGTTCGTGTAGACGGCGGTCTGCACCCTTCCTGGAGCAAGTATTCTTGAGCATCAAGTAGATTCTGAAAATCCCGTCGCCATTCAAGATCAGAAAGATGTACAGCATGTGCATCTAGACAACGAACTGAATAAGATTAGAAAAAAAACAAGAAACAATTGGGGATTTTGGAGAGACCGTCATGGAGCCCAGCTCCGGCTGCAACAGGATGCAGAGCTGCTCAGGATGCAGACGGGAGAGAGCACGCACGCCGGCGCCTCCGCCTCGCCCACATGTCCGGTGAACCACATCCCAAAGCTCCATGAGCAGGCCGAGCTGCTGCACGGCATCCTCGGCGGCACCCATTGCGCGCCACCACGGCACGAGCTCGAGGACGGCCACCACGGCACGAGCGCGAGGACGGCCACCACGGCGCGAGGACGGACACCACGGCCTCGCACTCCGCCTCGCGGAGCTGCGCGCAGAGCCGACGATGCAGAGATTGGAGAAAGGGGAGGGGCTCCTGACCATCTCCTGGGCGAGCGGGTTGACGACGAGGCGCTGGAGCTGGTCCACCTGCGCGTGCAGCGTGGCCTGCTGCGCCGCAACCATGGCGGGGATCGAGCCCGCCTCGACGAGGGCTCCGGCTTCGGCCGCGAGCGGCGGCGGGGAGAGGCGCCGTGGGCGGGGGCGCGACGGCGACCATGGGCAGCAGCGCCTCCGGTCGCCGTGATCCTGGACGCGTGCGGTGGGTACCGGCGGCACCGGCACGCCGCTCGGCTGATCCTTCACGCCCCGGGCACCCGCATGTCCGGCGGGACCGGGTATTCGGCCTCGTAAAGGAGGTGAGCCTCGTCTTCATGAAGATGGCGGCGGCCGAAGCCGTTCGCCGCCGCGCCGTCGCCTGGGAAGCGCTCGGCCATGCGTGTGAACTGGAGACGGCGAAAGAGAGGAGAGGAGAGGGAGGAACGGCGACGGCGGGAGAGTGTGAGTCGCCGAGTGCGCCGGGGCGCGTCATATATAGGCCGAGCCGCCGCCCGCGCGCATGGCACCGTGTGTACGCGTGGCGGGGCGAGGGAGGGCGAGGGACGCGCGTCGTCCGGTCTTCACTGCGCCGCCCGTGAGACATCAATGGCACAGGCTGACCGGCGCGGCAGCGCGCGGCAGCTTTGGCATTGATTCGCCACGGGAAACGAGGCGATGAGGACGACAAAGGGCCGAGAAGAGAGCCGTGTCGCTGACGCGGCGGGCCCGCGGCTTTTTCGCGCCAAAACAGTTCGCCCGGTGCCCCCGGGCGTCCCCCAGCGCGCCGGGTTCGAGCTGGGTCCGCTGGTGCTGTTTTCGGTCCAAGTCGGCAAAAATCGGGCTCCTAGGGGCGCGACTCGACCGTTTTTTTGGCGCCGACGCGAAAAAAACGTCTGGGAAGGCCTTCCTGAGCGCGGCTGGAGATACCCTTATGTCTGTAAGTACTACTTGCCTTTTAAATGTACTACACTACCACTCCCTGCCATATATAACGCCGGCGGACACACACGGTTGCGCTAAAGTTAGCGTGAGCGCATAATGTCTAAACGTACGCGCCAGCCACTAATTGCCTGCTCGGCACGCGGCTCGGCTCGGCAACACCAGGAAATATAGTAAGGGAATTAATTTCCGTTACCGCTACCGCTCGCTCACCTCCGCACCGTGGCCCTTTTTGTTAACTGCGCAAACATGTATGGTAATAGAACAAAAGTGTATGGTAATGGAATAAAATACTTTACCAGATTCCACGTAACGCACTATGACCCACTACTCCTGTCACTAACCATGGTAAATATACTACCATACATGGTAATGATATTAAAACTATTACGGACGGCCGCACACAGATTCTCAATCATCTAATCTTAAAATAGCTTGACCACATAATACTGTTAAAATAAAAAATTGTGTTACTTCTAGTAAATGCTTGGAATTAGATCTTCTAGTACATGATCTATCATATCGTAAGTACAATTATAACGTATAGGGTATCCAAGTTAAAATTAAAAGAAAAGGATCAGTATTTGAGTACACTAGTGGTGAAGTATATAAACTGTTTTACTGCTCGGTAAGTCCCAGTTGCTACTAGTTCCTACCTATAGATAGTAATTACATTACCAGATCCATCTGTAGTAATAGTCTAAAAAAATCCATCTATAGTAGTAGAGATTATTTTATTACTAGGTTCACTTAGCTAATTATGCACGGATTATTACTAATTGACATCTTTTCAGTTTACTAATCGTACCAAAGCAAGTTATGACCTAGAATACAAAAAAATGGTTTACCACTGCTGCCCTGATTTAATATTGTCTACAAAATCCA